AGAATGACTGTAGATTATCGAGAACTGAACAAAGTAGTGCCTCCTTTGCATGCAGCTGTGCCTTCAGTTCATGACTTGATGGATCAGCTAATGACTAAGCTGGGAACTTACCATTATGTACTGGACCTTGCAAATGCTTTTTTCTCTATTCCAATCTCAGCTGATAGCTGAGATCAGTTTGCCTTCATGTGAGAAGGAAGACAGTGGACCTTTCAAGTATTGCTCCAAGGTTATCTGCATAGCCCATCCATCTGTCATGGTTTAGTGGTTGGGGACCTAGCCAAGAGGACTAGGCCCAGCACAGTTACAATGTTTCACTACATTGATGGTGTGTTACTAAACTCTGATTCTCTTGCAGATTTGACCCAGGCATCTCCAACACTGCTAAGTCATTTGGAACAATGTGGGTGGGCCATGAATACAGCCAAAGTGCAAGGATCTGAGCTGTCAGTCAAATTCCTAGGAGTGGTCTGATCAGGTAAGACAAGGCTCCTCCCAGAAGCTATTATAGATAAGATACAGGCGTACCCTTGACCCACAATTGTAGCTCAGCTACAGACATATTTGGGACTTTTGGGGTATTGGAGAGCTTTTGTACACCATATGGCCCAAATGGCATGCTCACTATATGCATTAACAAAGAAAGGAGCCCTCTGGGATCAGACTGAGGAAGTAGAACAAGCTTATCAGTCTACAAAAAGAGCAATACAGCAAGTACAAGCTTTACAAGTGGCCGGCCCCACTAAGCTGTTTGAGTTAGAAGTACATATAACCCAGGAGGGGTTAGGATGGGGTTTGTGACAGAGACCAGACATATTCTGCACACCTGAAGGATTCTTGTCTCAGTTCTGGAAGGGTGCTGAAGTGCATTATATCCTAATAGAAAAGCAGTTAGCAGCTGTGTATTCTGCCTTGGTAGCCACTGAAGCTATCAAGAGAACTGCTAAAGTCCTAGTAGGGACGACATACCCCATAACAGGCCGACTATAACAGGCCGACTGCACACGTGGGAAACCAACCCTGAAACAGGTGTAGCTCAGAATCCCAACTTGTCTAAATGGGGAGCATATATAGAACAAAGGAGCGCTGTGTCAATGAGTCCTCTGTCCAAAGAGTTGCAAACTGTGCAAGGCCCAGTAGAGGTCATGGAGGAAACTTTGACAAAGCCCTTACCCATGGAGGTGGAGGCTACACCTTTCCATGAGGGACAGGGACCTATCACAGAGTAAGCTTGCTATACAGATGGCTCTAGCATGGGACCTTCAGCGTCATGGACAGCTGTTGCTGTCCAGTCCTTAACAGATACCATGTGGTATGAAAATGGTAAAGGGCAAAGCAGCCAATGGGCTGAATTGAGAACAGTATGGATGGTGATAAAAAATGAACCTGGGCCATTAATCATCGGTACTGACAGCTGGGCTGTGTACAAAGGTTTAACCCTTTGGATTTCTAATTGGAAGTATCAATGGTGGATGGTAGGCCACCAACCCCTGTGGGGACAAGCCATGTGGCAAGAGTTATGGGAATTGGAACATGAGAAAGAAGTAACTCTTTTCCATATCACAGGACACTTCACCTTAGCCAGTCCAGGAAGTGATGAGGCCAATGCCTTGGCTAAGGTAAGATGGCTGGAGAGAGACCCAGCTACTGATATAACCCAGTGGTTACATTGACGAATGCAGCATGCTGGTGGTAAAACCATGTGGATGGCGGCTCAAAGATGGGCCTTGCTTATAAAAAGGAAAGATGTAGTAAATGTCTGTCATGCTTGTCCAGTATGTGCTCAAGAGAGTCCACACCCCCAGTGGGTGCCCCATACAGATGGGCAAATAACTTGAGGAAGGGTGCCCCTGACTGAATGGCAAGTGGACTTTGTCAGACCACTGTCAAGTTCAGAGAATTTCAGATACATCTTCACAGCTGTTGATACGGCTACTGGTCTTCTGTTCGTATGGCCTTGTAAGGCCCCAGACCAGGTAAACACTGTGAAATCATTGAATAGCCTTACCTTACGGCTATGTATGGCTGGCCAGTAGTCACAGAGAGTGACAGTGGAACCCACTTTAATGGACATGGGGTTCAGAGGTGGGCTTTCCAGTTGTCTATTCAGTGGAAGTTACATGTGCCATATCATTCTTGGCAGCAGGAATGGTTGAACAGTACAATGGTCTTTTAAAAAAGGGACTAAGACTATCTGCCCAACCCCCATCCCTGAAGGGGTGGACATGGCCATTATGGCTGTCAGTCAGAATTCTAAATGAGAGACCCTGCCAGTGGAAGCTCTGTTGCATAGGGCTGCAGCACCTATACAGCTGCAAATCACTACTAAAGATAAGCTTTTGAAGCCAGGATATGGCAAGAATGGAAATATTCTCTTACCGGCCCCAACCTGTTTGCAACAGGGACAGACAGTACAATGGGAATGGCCTTGGAGAATAAAAGCCCCCCATATATGCTGGGTAGGTCTAATAGGGCCTTGTGGAAAAGGATTAGAGGAAGACTTGCAAGTTTCACCTTGGGTGACAAGTACCTGCCCTCCCCAAGTAAAGGTAACATGACCTGGAACAGATAAGCACTCTATTCCAAAGGGCACATTTGTATCATTATGGCCAATTATGAGTTCCCCTATACTGTTACATGTAGAACCTACAGATCCAACAGTGTTAGCAGATAAAGTGTGGTATCATAAGCCAGGTGAGATACCTATTCCTGCAACCATCCTTTCTCAGGATGGCAAACTGGCATGTATCTTACCAGAGGGGTGAGAACTTCCCCTATTGCTACCAATAACCCTTCTGTCTTTTCACCCATAGTGTTCTGGTTGCAGGCACTGCACCAGAGTTGCGTGATCAGTGTGTCGACCTATTGAATGTACATTGAACTGCCCATCAGTATGACTGCAGGGTTCCCATAGAGGATCGCGCCAATAATGACTACTAACCAGACATATGCGGCTAACATTTAAAAGGACAGAACTACAAGCCTTAAAGCATATTGAATGGACAATAGGTTATGTAAATGTAAGGATCATTTATCCTCACTAAGGGAACATTGTGGAAGATTCTGAGCATGTAGATTGTAGGGCAGGGACCCTGAAGGGGTGGATTGTTGGGAAAATAGAATAATTTAATTAGGCTCCCTCATCTGCCCGTCTTTTTGGGGGTGGTGCAGCACATTCTTTGTAAGCAAATTGTGTGTAGGGGGGTGGAGTTAGTGTGCCTGCATGGCGCTGCGAGTTGGTTGGCATCTGCCTCAGGCATCTGCCATGTGCAGCCATGCTCTCCAACCTAGAGCTTCCAAGGACCTTTTTGCCAGTTACCTAGCTCATAGACCTGTATGTGAAGGATCTAGTGACTCAGACTGGCATGTGAGGGGTCTGGGAATCCAGCCTGGCATGTGAAGGGTGTGAGACCCAGTCTGGAAAATGGGCTTGAGGGGCCTGTGAGCTTCAGACCCAGTCCTAGCTCTACAATTGGCCCAGTCAACAGGATTATGGGCAGATAAAAGAGCTTGACATGGGGAGATTTGAAGATGCTAAGTGAGTCTTTGAAGATGGTGCCAAGTCTGTAGATGCTACAGAAATCAAGAAAACGAATTCTCCCTTAGACCCTCCAAAAAGGAATGCAGCCCTCCTGACTCATAAATTTTAGCCTTTGAGATCTATTTCAGACTTCTAAACTCCAGAACTATAAAATAATAACTTTATCTTGTTTTAAGCCACTAAACTTATGGAATTTTGTTACAACACCAACAGGAAACTACAATCAACAACACAAACTGACTACTGAAGAAGTAGTCACAACATGGTATTACTTAGAGGCTGAGATCTTACAATCACAAAGCAAACAGAAATCTCTCTACGGATATTTCCAGTTCAAAGCATTTTTATTATTATTATTACCTTGGTATTTAATATTAAGGTATCATTTTTGTAATAATAATAGCTAACTTTATTAAATTTTATTATGTAGCAAGTACTAAATGTTACACTGTACATCAATTATCTAGTTCTCACTATAATCATATAAAATTGAGGGGGAGGGTCATTTTACTATCAAGAAAGCAGGTAATAGAGCTTTGAAATTTTGCCCAAGGTCATGCAAATAGCAAACAACTAATGAGACATACATCCGGGTTTATCTAACACCAAAATATAGACTGTTCTATTGTCAGAATATTCATGATCATTCACATTTTATTTGGTAATGCAGAGCTAGACAAAATAAGAGATATACTAATTAAAGGGCATTATAGAACCTAGCCTGTAAGATACTTAAAAGATCGTTTACTCCAAATATCAAATATATGTAGAATATTTTTCAATATTTGAGTAACCGAATTTTATATAAGTGGTCTCTGACTAACAATGGTTCAACTTTTGGTGGTTTGACTTATGATATTTCAACTTTACAATGGTGCAAAAGTGATAAGCTTTCAGTAGAAACAATACTTCAAATTTTGAATTTTGATCTTTTCCCAGGCTGGTCATGTGTGGTACAATACTCTCTGGCAATGCTGGGCAGCAGCAGCAATCATGTGGGTAAACAAGTGATGCTATACTGTGTATTTTGTTTGGTTATTGTTTATTTAATGAATATACAACTTAACAATATTTGCAATTTACAGTGGGTTCATCTGGACGTAACCCCATCATAAGGCAAGGAGCATCTGTATAGCCTTTTTTTTTTTCTTCCACGAGATTACTTTCTATCATCTTATTGTAAATTCAAAACATTACCCCTTCTTTCACTGGTCTTTTTGCAACTTAAAAATACAAAGGATCCTGAGCAATAAACTTGGTTACGTAGTAATGTAGTAATAAATCACAGTCCGTACTGACTATCTGATGCACAGAAAGTTAAATGTCTTGCCCTAACAGTTCCTGAGGTTTTCAATAGTGACATTAGAACTGCTTTGGAAATCTAATCAGTAATTAATGATCAGTCTGAGTACGTTTAATTAGTAACATAAGAAGCATAAACATAGAGAGGAATTATTACCTGTGGCAACATGACGTCCCATTCCAAATATGGCATAAATGATGGCAGGAAACAGAGACCCATATAAACCAAACACTGGGTGCACAGATGAGAGAATAGCAAAGGCCAACCCTGTGAAGAAGACCAGTGTAATGAGGACAATCTTACAACCCCAAGATACAGTCAATTACACAATGGAAGGGTTATTGTATATTGTCTATCATACAATAGAATTGGTTTATTGATGGGCCGGCCCAGTGGCGCACTGGAGAGTGCACCGCTTGGGAGTGCAGCGGCGCTCCTGCCGAGGGTTCGGATCCCATGTGGAGACCGGTTCCCGCTCACTGGCTGAGCGCGGTGCAGGCGCGACACCGAGGGTTGCGATCCCGTTGCCGGTCAGTAAAAAAAGACAAAAAAGAAAAAAAAAAAAAGAATTGGTTTATTGATGGACAAAATGAACCATACTTTTATTCTACTTCCTCATCAAGAGATTAGCATTATTGTCCTAAATAGGAGAAAAATAGTTCATTAGTTCATATTTATATTTCAATTCCAAAAGCCATTGTTTTTGGACTACTACTTTTCCCCTTGATTGTAGAGATGTCTGTAAGAAAATAGTGGTTCAGAATGTCTTCCTGGTAATATGCAGGTGTGATAGCATCATTGTAAAATACCTCCAGGCATTCTTGGATTTTAGAAGCATCTTCACAAGTATGACTCTAATCGCACAATAGCATCTATGACATAGGCAGGGCTATTAGCTTTACCACTGACCGATGAGAAGTTTGACACAGAATGGAGACTAGGGCTGGGGCAAAAAGGATGTGTCCTCAAAGTTGGCTGGTTGGCTGGCTGGCTGGCTGCCTAGCCAGCCTAAAATTGTGTATCCCAGTGGCAGAGCCAGTGCATGAACCCATGTCCTTCCTGCTAACTGGACTCTAGTCTATATTTTAGGTACAGTTTCTCAGAATGGGAAAAATGATCAACTTTGCTTATTCAAAGATTAAATAAAAATAACTCAAATTAATTTTTGTTCCTCATAGAGACTATTGCCTACAGAGTTGGTATGGTTCATACACATAGAAGATTTTCCTAGACATTTCTAAATGACCACTGGTGGGTTAAATGTGACCAAAATATGCATGAGTACTGGCTCATTACAATTATTTTCTCTGTGGCTGGTCCTTGGTATTAAATGACCACTTGTGCTAGATTCCAAAAAATCCATTCAAGTCTGTTAGTTTAATGATAGGCATTTTTTTGGGCATAAAGGGATTTACGAGTCACAAGAGACTTGAAGAAGGAGGGAACATTAGAATCTAGAACACCTGAATAGGAGATCAGGTTGATCATTGTTCCCACTATAGAGCCTGCCAGTCTTGTTCCAATATGAATCATGTTTACTGTTGAGATTTTACCATTTTTAAATTTAATTTAATTCCATTTTTAATAAACTGTAGTTATATATCAAATATTTTTCAAGCAGTATAATGCATTTTATCTATAATTAAAATACATGAAAAGTCTACCAAAGACCATTCCCTTATTTATTTTTAAAAACCATCTCAGTTGCTTATTTACTAGTAATGTATTTCAAAAATCTGGTGAAAATAAAAGTGATTATAGAAGAATCAGTGGCAGAAGCTGCTCTAGAATTTCATAGAGGCATACTGAGAGGCAGCAGTGGGTTGGTGGGAAGGGGGGTGTCAAGGGACAGGTCTTGAAGCCAGTTTAGTATCAGAAGGCATTTTCCCACCCCTACCAACCAGCCCCTCTTGGCATTTTTAGTGTAAGAAATTTTGTAAAAAGTATTGTATTTATGGCTGGCCAGTTAGCTTAGTTGGTTAGAGCATGGTGGTGATAACACTAAGGTCGAGGTTTTGATCCCTGTACCAGCCACTCACCAGCCTCCTTCCAAAAAAAGTACAGTATTCACATCAGTCATATGGAAAGCTGGAAAATAACTTTTTCTCATCCGTTTTTCAGAATGAGTTACCTGATAAAAATTATCTATCAAGGGCCGGCCCGGTGGCGCACTGCTACAGTGCGCCGCTTGGGAGCGTGGCAGCGCTCCCGCCAAGGGTTCAGATCCCACATACAGACCGGCCGCTCACTGGCTGAGCGAGGTGCGGGAGCAACACCGAGGGTTGCGATCCTGTTGCCGGTCCCGGTCTGGTACGGGCGCGACACTGAGGGTTGCGATCCATTGCCAGTCACGAAAAAAGACAAAAAAAAGGAAAAGAAAAAAATTATCTATCAAGAGACGGAAATGCAAAGTGTTCCCTGGTACGGGCGCGACACTGAGGGTTGCGATCCATTGCCAGTCACGAAAAAAGACAAAAAAAAGGAAAAGAAAAAAATTATCTATCAAGAGACGGAAATGCAAAGTGTTCCCTGGTAAGAAAAATGTGGCCCGCGTTTCACGAGATTATACAAATCTACTAAATTAATGGTGGGGAGAAAAGGGAATAGCATGGAGCATATTTACAAAAGCTGCTTGGATATCATATGGACACTCCTCTATGTGCAACACGCAAATGTTAATGCAAAGCTGGAAGCAATTGCTCTCCTCTTGCTCTGTGAATAGCTACCTCCCTGTGTATCTGCTTGCTTTGTTACAATAACACTCATCTCTCTCTGTTTATCCCAAATAAAGTCCATGACAAAATTAGTTCAAAAACTGAATTTCTCTGGATTTCATATTACTATCTAATTAACTCCCATAGTTTTTGTTTGCCTGGGAAATGCAATATTTCTCCTACATTTTTGATTAAAATGGTAATAATCATGTAAAATATGTTAAATCCAAGATTTTAAAAAGATCTGTAGACCTATAAATTAATGCAAAATATCATTTCAGTAGATTCTAAAGAACAATCTCCAAAACCAGAAGTCATGTGGAGATTTCCTTTATCTCTTAAGACACTGATACTGAGCTTTCACTCTAAACAATGTTGTCATTCACCCTCGGTGGCAACCTATTTCTCTGTTAATATGGCAATGAACAATGGCCAAAATAAAGGAGGAATGAACTAATTCAGATATACAATACTTTAAAACATGAAGTATCCTTTCCAAAAATAAGAACTACAAGGCCCAAGACAATGCCACACACATATACATATCTCAAAAAAGGAGAGAGAGTTCCCAGGGCTCCACCAGGGTCCTGAGGCACAGAGCTGTGGGAAGCCGAACCCAGCCACAACCAGTTAAGGAGCACACCAAAAACACGATTTCCACACGGGTAACCCTCCATAGCCATCACAATTGCCATGGCTGCTGCAAAAGCGGCTAGTCTCTATAGCAGCAGTCACAGCCACCGTGCAGATGGCACGCCAGACTCTCAACTGCACTGACTCAAGGAGAGGCACCAGCAGAGAAAAAAAAAAAAAAAAAAAAAAAAAGAGGAAGAAGAGGTCCTCTCTTTCCACAAAGCACACTCTAGAGTAATAGAAGAAGCATCTGATTTACTATAATAGAGGAGGACTTGATCACACCTGCCTCCGTAGTGGACAGATCATCTAGGAAACAGACCAACAGAGGAACAGTTAATTTATCAGATGGAGAGAACAAATCTATGGTTATTAGAGGGGGAAGGGGGTGGGGGAAGAGGAGAGAATGGACAAGGGGCATAAAGAATAAGTATCATTCGTAATAATGAATATGCTAATAAAGATAAAATTTTAAAAAGGAGAGGGAGTTGAATAAAGTTTCTTTTTTCTTATTTATTATTCTGGTTCATAATATAAACTACATACATATACACACACACTCACACAAGCTAGTATTTTAAATACCCCCAAAATAGTGAAAACATTAACTAGCTAGAGTTGCTTACGAATTAGCAGAATTATTTACACTTTCTCTGTGTTTAATAAAACAGAGTATTTAATTCAAATAAGAGCAGAATTACAATTCTCTTACGCTATTATTTAGAAGAATATTGCTATAAATGTTAATAGATACTAATCTAACTTAGATAGGAGCAAAAGCAACACAAACAAAAGTGTCAAGGAATGAACACAATGAGCATTAGGCCAAAGGGTCCCAAAAGAAGAGGGGGAAGGAAAGAGGGAGGAAGGGAGATGATAGGTAGATAGATAGAACCCCAAAACTGAGATCTTTCGATGGCTGATTATTTTTAAAGATCAAGAATCAAAAAGTTCGTGGAAATATTCATATTACCTTTTAATTCCACTTTTCCACAAACTTTTTGAAGTACCCTTTTATTGGTAGTGTAAGGCTGATACAACCACAAAAGAACCGTCACTAGAAAACTTCAAAAGATGCAAATTTTAAGACAACATGTTTTGTAGGCATAATAATGATTATCATAGAAGAGGAGTAGAAGAGATTCAAGACTCACATATCAAAATCATCAGTAGTTTCAGGGCTTGTGAACACAACAGCCCTTTTGAGAAGCCCTTAATGTGAAGTTGAACATTTGTCACAAGCATGCATTGCCCCTCCAACACATGCTGTGATGAGAATGGCTTCCCTAGACACAGTGCCTGACCCTGACCAAGAAAGACCAGGAAAACAAGAAGGTAACTTAATTTCTGCCTCTGCTCCTATAAAAGCTTTTGGCAAAAATCACTAGAAAGCGACTCAATCACGACTGGTGAAAAAGAGAACTATTTCTCACAGAGAAGATGATTTCTATATTGGATCCAGGGTTTCTATATTGGATACAGGATTACTATCTTAAGATACAGATTTTTATTTTAGTTCTGGACTAGTTTAGATTTACATGACAGCAATTATTTAGAATATCAAAGAAACCTGGATTGTATGTAGATATTGAATTCGAAGTCAGGAATTGGTGCTGGAATTACACACAGAGAACCACTCTGTTGGAGACTTTATATTGTGTTGGTCTTGTGACCTCACCTTTTTTTGTGAGAAGCACTAGTTTTGTTGCCTTCAGGTGTGAATGCAAGAACAGTATTTTTCAGACTATAGCCTTCAGTTATGGAGTTTCAAACATCACTGAGAAAACTGTAGCTAACACAACTCAATGGAACAACTATTTCAGTAGAATTTGCTGCCCTGGAATGTCAATACTCTTCATAAAGCATCTTTAACTATTTTTATAGGTTGAATTGTGTCCCCCCAAAATTCATATGTTGAAC